AGTAAAATAGTTAGATTTTAAATTTGCTTATTTATTATTTTACAACTCCATTTAACATGCAAGTTTAGTATTTAAATGTTGTTTTAATAGTGTCTGTATCTCTCTTGTTACTCAGTATTTATAAAAATGTCATATTTCAACATCATTTACATTAATGCTATTATTTAGCTTTATACAATTTGTAGCATTAATATCAAATAATTGTTATGAGATAAAAATTTAATTACGTTATCTAATTTTTTATTTATTGAATCAGTATAAATTTTAATATAAAGTAGTAAGAGATATTTAAGGCAATATATTTTTTCAATTAAAAGATATTTAAATTTAATAGAATAATAAAAAGGGATGAAATTTAGAAATGGGTGGCATAAATTAACTACATATAGTTAAGGTGTGCTTTAGTACTAAAAGTTTGAAAAACAAAGAATGAATTAACTTTTGCCATTTACTTTAACATAACGAGCTTCAAATACAATAATATTCTTATTTTTGTCTTGCATTAAATAAAAAATATTTTAAATGAATCTTTGAATATTATTCTATAACCACCTTTTTTAATTACAGTATAAAAAATGTAATTGGAAAATATTACTATTGTGCTAGATAATATTGCAACAATTTTTAAATTTGCTCATATTAATTTATGAAGGTATTTTTGCAGATCTGCATCTATAATGTGCAAATTTGTTTACATTGGTAACAGAAAATAATTCTAATATAAACTAAAAAAAAAGTAAAGTTTGAGAAACTTTACCTATTTCAATAAGTTCATTATTTAACTTTAAAAACAAACAAACATAGCTTGGAATTAGTGATGGTAATTTTTATTTCAAGCAATTTTAAGAGACATTATGGCTTAATCTTAAATTTACTTTTAATTATTTATTTTACATAAATACTTTTGTTGAAACTCATTTCTCTAAAACATTTAAAAATTGCTGATTTGTGTTTTAAATTATATATTTCTACTTTTAAAAAGCTTCATATTTTATAGTTGACAATGTTCAAACTGAAAATATTTTCAGTTTGAATATATAATTGAAAATATTAAAGACTTTTTTTTTAAGTCTCTTTTTTTATATATATTTAAAACCACAAGTGGTACTGTGGTTTAAACCAGCCAATCTTCCCAATTTTACGAAAATTTCCATAAAAAATGCTTTAAATGCAATTTTTTTTAAAAAAATTTCTTACGTATTTCAACAGCAATTATTACTTTCCTAAAGTTTCGTTATTGATAATGTAAAGCTGAAGTGTTTGTCCTTGGTTGATAAATTTATAAGGACACCATGCATTTCAAAGTACAGTAAAAGCAAAAGGGAGAAAAGTTAAATCATAAAATTTACAGAAATGAGGGGGGGGGCTAATACAGAATGTTGCACTGTGCAATGAAATTTTAAAATCCTTTGCGCTGAAAAACATATGAAGATCAAGGGGAGAAAATGGTTTATGTCCAATTTTTGAAAAAATGATGATTGGAAGATTACTAAGTTTTGACAAATCAATTGCATTGAACATCAGTTCTCCCTGACAGTTACTACTCAGTGAAGATATGCCATGCTGGAGAAAACTGTTCCTGACCACACAAAGAAAGAGAAAAGCACAGTGACAAAGAAAAGCACAGTGCAGAAGACAACAGGAATACAAGTGAGAAAGTATTTATTTTGAGGGAAAAAACTGTTCTTTTCCAAATAAATTTTCAAATGTCTTTTTCTCAATACCAAAATTTAAAATTTTGTTTTGAAATTTTAATGGAATGTAAACAAATACTGTGATGTTCATGCATATTTTTACAATTTCAATCAAGTGCGTCTGAAAATCCTGAAACTTTTAAATTTGTCTTTTTCCTTAAATAAAGAAAAAAGTTTTGCTTATTTTGGTTGTTAAAAAGTGCCCTGTAAATGGGACTTTATGCTATATTAATTGTAATAATTTCATGTTCCCAGGCTGCAATTAAAATAGAAAAGTAAAAATTTATTGAGATCCAAATTATTTGAAAAACAGGAAAATAATGAAATCATTTCACTAATAAATTACCATTAATGCTTAGCCAGAGATATGGGCATTATTTTAGTTTGTGAATTTTTATAGTTTTCACTATTATTTTTTTCTTTTGGAATTCCTATTAATGCAAAATTAATAAACTGTATAAAAACAACTTAGGTAGCCATTTTTCTCTCCATAAAAAAAATCTGCTTTGAAGAGACTAAAGAAATAAATAAGGATACCCTGATTTTTTTTCGTGTTAATTAAGGTAAGCTATAGCAAATATATATAAAGTGAAACAAATAAAAATTCATATTAAATTAGATCATAAAAAAGTTAAAATTTAGTTTCATGAGAAAAAAAGGTTACTGTAATTGAAAAACTCTACCTATCTTCTTTCTTGTTTATATTTATACATATAGTTTAAAGAAATTTATTTCATACAAGATATATCATAATTTACATAAAATATGCCATGGAATGTTTAAATACATAATATCTAAAGCTTTTTAAATCATGTATCAATTTCTTTCGATCACAGATTGATAGTTATTACATCATAGTAGCCAATTCTTCTGGAAGATTTTATTTTTAGAATAGTAGCAAATCTTATGTTCTTTGCTCATTGATTTATGCATTGATTTTGAAATTATTTTGATTACCACTATGTATTTAAATTAATTAAACATTATAAAAATGCATGATAATTATGATGGTTGGCTTAAGTGCAGGCAAAATACAAAAGCTATATATTGCCTATATTTGTAATATGATATAGAGTATGTGCTTTGTAATTGTTCGCAATAATTTTTGCCAACTTAAATAGTGAAATATTCTTGATTTTGATGTTATATATATAAAAAATAAAATAGTGTATAGTGTTTAAATTTATGGATACTATGAAATTTTTACATGAAAAAATTTAGAAAAAAAATACATACAGAATAATAAAGTAATGTTATTTTAACATAGTAACTATAAATTTATTACCTGGCTAAGAAAAATAATTTTAATTTTTTTCATTTGATTCAAAAAAGCTTTATGTTCTTTATTTTAAGTTTAAAATTATTCATCTAAGGTTTTGGCTGTTTTTTTAAAGTAAGTAGTGATATCTGTTCATTTCTTTTCAATTTGTTTGGCGATTCGAGATGATCTTTCCTCTTCTGAACATCTTCATTTCTTTACACTATAAAGCATTTTTTTGACAAGAGTTTGAAATTTTTTAGTTGAAATTTATTTACTATTGTTGAAAAAAGGAACTTTAGAGATCCAACTTTTTTAAAATAATGGGGGGAAAAAAACCAAAGTGAGGAGAAAAATAAACTTATAAGGACCAAACACTAAATGCACTGACAGCACTAAAAAAATAAAATAAAACATCTAATTAAAAATAGAGAAAATCTCACATAAAATTAATAAGGCTTAAGGATGTTTATGGCTAATTTAGAAAAACCAGCTGATGTTTTTAAAAATTATCAAAAAATTTCTTAAACTAAATCAAAATTTTACAAATTAATCATCACAAAATGTCTTCTATTGACGATTATCCTCGCATCATAACAAAGAATTTCAAGTAAAAATATAATTCCATATTTATTATCAAAAAAATTTCTTCATAGAAATCTTTATTTTATAAGATTGCTCTTGACTTGATGTTAAAAGTAACTTGAACTGTTATATAATATAGGTTACCATTACATATATTTAACAAGTAAAATTATTTCCTGTATATTACTCTTTATTGTGACACACATTCTGTAATCGTAGCTTTAATTTTTTTTTTTATCCAAATTGAAGTTAATTATCGTTCACATACAAGTGATCATTCAATTTGTTATGATTAACATACTAACAAAATGTTCTTTCTTAAAACTATAATTATTACACATTTTGTGAAAACTGGTATTTTTTTAAAATATCAACTTCAAAAATAATATAAAATTTAGATGAATGAGCAACAGGCAATTACAGGAGTTTGGGAGTGGAGCAAGTAAGGGACGGAACATTCTAGTAAATTAAAATGATATTGGAAAACTTTTGATAGCAAGCTAAAGTGTTGATAAATAATCATTATAATTAAAAAAAAATATTGAGCATAAACTTAATTAATAGCTACTCATTACAATTATAGTAAAAAAATAGCTACTCATTACAGTTATATTGAAAAAAGATAATACTTGTACTTTGTTCTAATTGCAACAAATTAAAAAAAAGTAATTAAATGAAAATTTTGTAAAATTATGTATAAACTATATAAATTTTTTAGAGCTTTTATACTTTTAAATTAAAAATAACATATTGGAATTTAAAAAAGAAATAACTTAAGAAAATTCTGAAATTTTAGAAAATTATAAATGGGTAGGGACACGCACCTCTCTGACATTATGCGAATGCTCACAATACCTTTAATAATAGTCGGAAAATAAAAAAAGATTCATAAATATTGACAAAATATAAGTTCCTATCATAAGATTCTATCAGAATACAGGGTTGCATATAATTTTTTTCCGATCATTTCAGAAAGCCATAATAAATACATCAGGAATGAATTTTGCATTAAAATGTTCAACTTTTTCAACAAGTATTTAGGAAGTTAATCCCAGGTCCACATCAGTATCTGTTTGTATTTGCACTAGAAATCATTAGCCAAACACAATGTCACAAAATTTATTAAAGACCATAAGTAATTAATATAAAATAGCATAATCAGGATTGGTCTTATTTTTGTATTTTACCTTCGTCCTAAACTCACATTTCCCTTCTGTAAAAGCTCTTTTACTTAAGAGACCTAAAACTTTACAATAGGGGGTCACAATGAAAGATATCAATTTACGTCATATTATCAAATATGAAAATTTTTCTTATAAAATTAATGATTGCTATGAACCAAGGGTTTACTTAATTCTGCCTCTGTTTGGTTCAAGATACATTTATCTACTATATCTGAAATAGTTTAGTTTATTATGGATGGTTAATCAATAGACAATCTATGTAATGAACAGAAGGAAACATTGGTTTCAATATCACCATTTATTAGACATTTTTAAGTAAAGTTTTCTCAGAACAAGACCATGAGTTGCACTAAAGGAATGAAGTCATTAAAAAATGAAATGAATCAGAAACTATCCTTAGTTCAAACTTAAAATTACTTCTTGATAATCTATATTGCCATATTCTAATTGAAGAGTTTGCTTTATACTCCATATTTTTAGGAACTCTAAAAAAACTGAATTTAATCTAACGTTTAAAGTTGGACATGATGATATAAACACAAGCCTTTGGAATGAAAATAAAAGTGAAAAGAGAGAAACTTGAGTGTCCTGTTAGTTAATTTTATCATTCACACTGCCGGTATTTAATTCTATATGATTAACATCCATAATTTTCTCACAACCTTATGCATAAAAATAAAATTATAATATGCCATTAAAAATTGAGATATGATTTTTTAATAAAATGAGCATTGATTTAAAATAGTTATTCCTATTTTCTTAATAGCTTTTATTATTATGTTACCTGAAGCTGAATATAAATTACAAACATCTTAATATAGCAAAGTCATATAGTTAAGTTTAATACAAGAATCAGATTAAATTGCTTTTTTTTTTCTTCCAATAATTTATTTTATTTAGAGAGAACAAAGTTTTCAGTGGGTATATTTATTAATATTTAATTTCACATGCTGTATATTTAATTTCACATAAAAGGAACATATCACATAAGAATTTTGCTTAAGTTGTATCTCACTGTGACAAAGTTATAGATTTAAATGCATGGTTGAATCATATTGCATTGTAAGAAACTCACTGTACTACAAACACTTCTTGTGCACAGTAAACTACTTCTACAAATATTTCAATTCTTCGAGGTTCTTTCTCTTCTGGCCCTAAAATGAATGTTGCAGGATGCACTTTGTTTTTAGAATCCACACATTTCAATGAATACATCCAAGTGATAAGAGCACGTTCATCACCTTCTTTATCTCGAAATAACTTACGAATTTGGGCATAATTAAATTTATCAGCATCAAAATGTAAAAATGACACTATGTCTCCAACATGAAAATCAGTTCCGTGTGAAGACATTGCAATAAGCTGATTTAGATGCAAAGGAGATTTTCTTAAAACTAATTCAACACTTTTCTTTTTCGTTTTCTTACTTTTAGAGCGAGGTTTTCGGGTACGATGTCTCAGGTTGATTCCTTCCACGAAAGATCGAACGATGGCACAAAAATCATTAGAAGCAGGTAATCTGATAAAACAAAAATTACAAATTACTTGATCATCTTCATTTTTAAGCCACATTAAAGCAGTGGAAATACTGCACACAATACATTTTGGTTTTTTCTTTGGAGGCATGTTTGGTAAATCAACTTTAAAAACAAAACTAAAACTATTCAGAATTTTGCGGGAAAGTAAATACGGCGTTGCCAGAAGCTGATTTCCAAATTTCATATTTAATCAAAATTTCAAATAAATAATCAAAAACTAGAATGTTGCATGGCTGCCAGATTTTATAATTAAGTATACCTATTTGATTAGCTGTAACTATTATAGTTATTATCGACATTGCGTAATTGTTTTTTTTCTGGTTTATGCATGGTGTTTTCAATATAAATGTAAACAATAACAATCTCGAGCTCCTTACCTGCTCTAGTTCCGGTTAGAAAGTTTGCAGCTACTTACTACAGCCAGTGCCATAACTTCACCCCTCGGGGCCCTGGGGCAAAAATTTTTGGCGGAGGCCCTTTCAAAAACTTTCAGTACTCCATCTCTAATCGTCATTTTAGTTATTTATGTATTATGTTAACGAATATGTTTATGAAAACAAGTTATTTGTTCGCTTATAAATTGTATAACAAAACATTGTAAGTTTTCCACATGGCAAAATACAAAATTTCAGCGAAATCGATTAATTTTGAGAAATTAAATTTTAAAAAAGTCGTACTTATAAAACTCAATTTCTCAAGGACTAATCAACCAATTTCGCTCAAATTTTGTATTTTCCATGTGGAATTAGATACTTTAAAATGATACAAAAAAAAATATGCCTTACGATTCAAAAGTTTTCAGACTATTATTGTCCTGTAGTGACCTGATCGTTAAAACACGGTTCCCAGTAGATCACCGAAGTCAAGCATCACTGGCTGCTGTCAGTGTGCGGGTGTGTGACCACTTGGATCAGTCTGCGTAGGGACCGAGGGTGTGCGGTATTGGTCCTCGTTAA